GGGTGCTAACACCATAAACGTTATTGTTTACTTTCTCCGTCTTTATATGTAGATATTACTTTTCTCCGTCGCTTTTAAGCCTCTCCAAAACACAAAACACGAAGGCAATTTAGCAAGTGACCGAATGTAGTGTTCTTTTCTAAGCAAAATAGAATTTCAGATGGTTTCTCCTTGAAAAACAATCCAGTCAATAACATATTTAAAATAAAGAGCAGCTAGACAAGAAAATATGCTTGCACTCACGAAGGAAAAAGGTTAGTCACAATCTATAAATGAAAAGCCTACTACTGCCCACCTTTGGACCGTAGTTAAGCAAGAATATTTGACATATAAAGGGATACAATAGTGTGAACTGTATGATGAAATGAGTGGTCGAAATGTCTTTAAACGTCCAATGGTTTTCAATCTCTTATTGTCTACCAATGACGCCTGATATAAACAAAGACATCTCTAGTGTGCTTTTAAAACATTCAGCAACTGTTGCAGGCCTCTTGTCATGGCAGTCGCTTAGTAGAACAAACATTTACGCACAACAGCGTTTTTGTGCTGTCACTGTAATGGCAGTTACACTTTGTCTCTGTGTTAAATATGCTTGTAGGCTTTGTTCCTCATTAAAGTAAACAGAGGCTCCTGAGATACGCTCTGAAAAAAAGCGAGACCAGCTTCTGTCTTTTCTGCAAAAACATGACAGCTGCCATCATCCAACGCTCGTCCCTCCACCCCGCAGCAAAAATCCTGGTCCTCATCCCCAAACACATTGTTTTCTAATTGCCAGCCCCACATGTCTCAGCTCAGACCTCCACGTCCCAGCTGCCATTAAACCCAGCGACGACAGATTTCTTTTAAATACTTGGTAAACTTGTATGAATACAGAGAAGGATCTGGAGCAGGCTTATAAAGACAATGAGGAGAACAAGCTGAAACAGAGTGGACACTGTCATCAGGAAAGTGTAGTGTTTATGTGGCAAGAAGTGTAAGTGTGATAAAGACTGGTATCTTGTCAACACTAAATAATTCAAACCTCTAGGCACTAAATCACCATTGGGGTAACAAATGAACAGTTAGAGGTAGAGGAGATTAAATGACAGGTTGCATATTTTCTCCTTCATAAGCTATTTTTCTTTTACACTCCTTGCCACATTCCCTCTTCCTTTCTTTTGCAGAGCAACAAAGGCACACAAAAAACAGAAACAATGTCCATCCCCCTTCTGCCCCACACTTTTTCACCCTGCTGCTTGGGGAGCAGTTTTGGCTGATCTACATTGATTGCTATGGGCCATTCTCTAGCCTTGGCGCTCCGGAGAAGAAAAAAAAATCCAAGCCTTCTCATTCATCAAACTAGCACCTGCCAGCCTGTAGCTCTAGAGAACAACCGTCAGTTTCACGTCTTTTTTGTTTCTCCGGCCACCATTCTCTTTGTTTCCTCCTCGACAAATAACTGTCATGTCCAAAAGATTCAGGAGGGAGCGCTGATCTGCCATTTGTCCGCCTTTTCCAATAACACATTGACACTCGGTAATCCCTCTGAACACACGTGCACTGAGGAAGCCAGTCACCACTGCTGTACCTCAATAACTGACACGGTAGCTACACAATAAAATACAACACCCCTGAGCCTCAGTGACACCAGCCATCGGGTCTGAAATTACAGCTTAACCTACATCCCCCCGACCACCTTCTTCTTAACACATCCATCCCAGCTGAGTCACCTTTCTCGGGTGTTGTTTGCCCCTGAAGGGGTAAATGATTTGAAGAAAAAAGGTGACTATAAGTAATAAAAAAGTAAAGTCTCCAGGGGACTGATATTTATGTGTTGGTTTCTTCTGGCAGATCCTAAAGAGGGCTGGGTATTTTTAAGCATTGCGTTGCTAAACACAGTCAGTTCAATCGTCTTCTTATTTTCCCCTGCGAAGCTTTATTGCATATTTCTGCTCATTACTGTGTGAAGTGATAGCATTAGATGTGCTGCATTGAATAATACATTAAATGCATCTGCTCGAGCTCTGTTTCTTGTTAGCTATTGTATGTGTGCAAGTGTGTGACCGCAGAACTTTACAAAGCAGTCTCGCTAGCTCACACACATTTCTATTTAGTATTCAGAGCTAGAAACGACCCTGATGAGAAAACTTAAGTCAGGTGGTTTTGCAGTAGACGGACTCCATCTATAATACTTTAATCTTTGGTTTGAATTACGAGGCTTTTAAAATAATTGCAGGCAAAAATATTCCACTGTTCATAACCCCACAAAATATGGAATCTTTGGAAATGTGTCACAAGTACGGACTGCTTTATTTTTAAAGGGTAACTAGCCAAAGAGGTGTGGAGCTATTGATCTAAAAAAATGTTTTAAATAAAAAACTGAAATATGCTAAGCAAATTTGAGTCAGTTTGAGTAATCATTTTACAATATTCCTTCATTCCCACAATCAAAACGGTTTCGTTAATCATGTTTTTTAATCTGTTGGACTGCCTTTAGGGATGAGTAAGCGTTCCAAGATTCCACTAGCAATTAATTTGCTGAAAAACAAAACTACAAAAATGTAATTGTAATACCCCGGAATTATGTTGAGAAACCACAGCACCAGTCTTTGAATATTCATTGTCTGTTTCAGCCCTATGCCTTGAAGCCCCTGCTAGTGAAAAAAATAAACTTTCACCTGAGATTTGCAATGCTAAATGAAACTAAGTAAAAATATTCAAACACCTATTTCCTTTACAAACACCCATCTTTTGGTCCCAATGTTGTTTTGATCAAGGATGTATTCTACTACTCTCAATAATTTATTCAAATGATTAGACTATCAGACCGAACTGTAGCACTACTTTGATCAGCATATATTCCTGGCTACATCAAATAACAACAATGCCATACTTATATAGTTATAGCTGTTTACACTCATTATTGACAGTGAGTTTATTATATAATAGTCCCCTGTACTTCACCTTCACCTGTACACTTTCTGTACTGCGGACACCGATCATTTGTTCCGTCACTTAACAGTGATTCATATCTGTCCCGTATGTCTACCAAAGGGAAGCCAGCCGTCCCCCCTTCCTCCCTTCTGTGTTGTATTGATTGGCTCAGCAGGCATCTTTTCGCTGCTCAGTTAATTGATCATGGCTGCCTCATAGATTGTCTTCCAATCTTATTTAATTGACCCTCCATGACGCGGGAAAACACTTCTGCACACTTGTACTGTCTTTTTTACACTAATTGTTTATAATGAAAGGTTTACTATCACCATATTTGAACTGGATACAAAGCCAAATGCCAGTTTTTTACATATATACTGTACATTCTGACATGTACTAAAATTCCAGTTTGAAATGTTATATTTTTGCACTTTCCTGAATACACATTTCTATCCCAAAATAGCTAAAGCTTAGCCTAAATCTTGCCACACACAAGTATAATATCAAAGAGAGAAGTAGATAATATAGGCGTGAGCCTGCGGGGGATTTGACATGAAGCAAGAGATTCAGTGACGTCCTTATTACAAACCAAGTCAATACCAGATTATGGTAATGAGATATCTAACTGAGGGGAACAGTGAATACAATTCTCCACACTGGCAGTTATTTTTAACTACTGGAAACACGTAAAAGGAGCCAGTCCAGCAAGCCTTTTTGTGATAATGTGAAAACAAAGACACTTATAGAAGAAATGCCACGATCCATGTTGATGAAAGCTAAAAATACAGGTGTTTATTGCTTGGTTTGTGTATGTGAAGGGAAGAAAGAAGACAGAGAAATGCAAATTAGCTCCAGTATCCTGTCTCACATTATGCCGACAGTGCTGCCATCGTCATTACTTCCCCAATGACTCTGCAGACGGGAAATAAAATGAATCATTAACATTCAATGTCTCTTTCCATTATGTTTTCCTTTCTCTCACCTCTCTCTTTTTCTGTTTCACTTTTGCCCTAGTCCATCAACCCCCTCAACCTCTTGCCCCTTTTATCCTGCTCTTTAGACAGGTGCCAGCAAATGTGTGTGTGTGTGTGTGTGTGTGTGTGTGTGTGTGTGTGTGTGTGTGTGTGTGTGTGTGTGTGCGTGTGTGCGTGTGTTGGAAGGCTTGCTTTTGGAGGAAGTTGCTAGTCATAAGAGCCAGCTGATGAGTTTCACCCTCATCCGGAGCTCCATTCACCCCGGGCACAAGGGCCCATTCACCCGCTGCTTTTCACACTTGTGGACCCGAGAGCCCCGGGCACGTTCCCACACTGCTGCACGCTTACGGAGGTGAGCTGTCACTCACTAAAGACATCCTACACAACTGCAAGCAAAGGCACCCAGATGCAAACACACACACACATACGCACTCCTCCGCACAGGTATACTAAATAGATACTCAGGAAAGGGCTGTTTTTCTCATCTGATTCATTATAAGCATGCCCTGGAGCCCTTTTTTCCCTTAGAAACAAATATCTATATCCTCCACATCCAAAATACTCTTTCAGATCGAGTGACACAGAGCAGGAAGAGGTGTCACTTTCATTTTTGCCGTCTCCCTCAGCTGTGAATCTTTCTGACATGCTTGTTCCAACCGCCCACCGTCATACCCATGGATGGCAGGGATATGCATGACACATTGAAGAAAGTATGTCAGATTTGATGGCATCGTGCAGAACACTGAGAGGGGTGACTGGGTGTAGGGAAAAGCCTTTGGTATTCTGTAGTGCTGACAGCGGATAGATCCAGTTAAGCTCTAGTAAAACCGGAATATCGGCATTGATCCTTGATAAAACAATCAATCTCACGTTTCCAGAAATATGGGTATTATATCTTTGTGGGTAATTAAAACAGTTGTTTTATAAGCAACCATACTAATACTGAATAAAAGACAAAAAGCAGTTAACGGATGGTGCTTCTAAGCCAATTGAGTCAAAATCACCATATTGTTCCAGTTGTATGTATGCTTCTGTCCCACCATTAGGTGCATGACAGTGACATTATTATGTACCGCCTTCCCCCCCCTCCATCCCTTCCTGCTTATTTGCGCCATGTTTTTTTCCGCCGGCAACCTCCATGGAAACGTAAGCCTCACCCTCAAATTGACATCACATTCCCTCCTGAGCAAAGGACCATCTCATTAATGAGGGCATCTTGGGTGTGTTTACATTTCATTACACAGCTCTGCCTGGCTACCCGTACCTAAATGGCTGGGGGGAAGGGAAGGGAAGGGAAGGGATGGGGATGGGGATGGGGGCTGGTGGTGGGG